GGCGCGTTTTTTTCGATGAAAACCGCACTGGTAGGGAGCGGTTTTGCAGACCGCACCCCCAGGGTGCGTTCTGCCTTTTTTTTTTTTTTGCAAACCGCACCCCCAGGGTGAGTTCTGTTTTTTTTTTTTTTTTTTTTTTGAAAAATCCTAACTTAGGTAGAAACTTCAAACGAACGTATCTTTATGTTCGGGTATCCGATCGTTGCGATTTTTTTTTTAATTCCGCATAACTTTTTGAGATCTTGCAAGCCGAAGACTACCAAAGGTGGGTTGGTCTCGCCTTCGTCCCAAAAAATGTCGTTTGCTACCCTGAACAAACTTTTTTCCGATTTCGTCAAACTTTGGACAACCATAACTTTGTGCTCCAAAATCCAAACGTCATGAATTTTTTTTTATTTCGCATAAATTTTTAAGGAATACAACTTTTATCATAGACATAATTTCAAAATGTACGTGGATTGCTGAGAAGGGAAGATAAGCTATTCCCAAAATCCTGTATATCCAAAAATAATTCCCGTTTTGAAAATACATTCCTAGTAAAAATTGTAGTCCTTAAAAAGTTATGCGAAATAAAAAAAAAAGTCATGCCGTTTGGATTTGGAGCACAAAGTTACGGTTGTCCAAAGTTTGACGAAATCGGAAAAAAGCTCGTTCGGGGTAGCAAACTACATTTTTTGGTATGAAGGCGAGACCAAACCACCTTTGGCAGTCTTCGGCTTGCAAGATCTCAAAAAGTTATGCGGAATCAAAAAAAAAATCACGACGATCGGATACCCGAACATAAAGATACGTTCGTTTGAAGTTTCAACCTAAGTTAGGATTTTTCAAAAAAAAAAAAAAAAAAAGCAGAACGCACCCTGGGGGTGCGGTTTGCGGAAAAAAAAAAGCCAGAACGCACCCTGGGGATGCGGTTTGCAACCAAAACACACCCTGGGGGTGCGGTCTGCAAAACCGCTCCCTACCAGTGCGGTTTTCATCGAAAAACGCGCCCTCGGGTGGCGTTTTAATCGAAAAACGCACCTCCGGGTGGCGGTTTTACAAAAATGGTGCTATTTTTGGAATTTTTCGAAGTTAGGTGCTATTTTTGGAATTTTTTTTTTAAACAGTGCTATTTCTGGAAAAATCTCATTATCGGGCTTCTACTTCGATGAAGATAGGCGCAGAGGGGAAGTTTCACATATCATGTATGCCGATGATGCAATTATCTTATGTGATGCCACGGAACAGGAAGTAACTAACCTGTTAGCGGTTTTGTTGTGCTTTCCAAGTGTCACTGGCCTAAAGGTAAATCTTGAAAAGAGCAAATTATTCCCTGTTGGGTAGGTGCCCCATTTGGAAAGATTGGCTGACCTCCTCTGTTGTGATTGGGAACTTCTCTCGACAATTTATCTAGGGCTTCCTCTTAGGGCTTCACCAACCTCTGGTAGCATTTGGACCCCCTTAATCTCTCGTGTCCAGAACAGGCTACAAGGCTGGAAATGGAGGTTTTTGTCCATTGGTGGCAGATTGGTTCTTATCAAGTCTGTTCTCGCGAGCCAACCGACGTATCTATGTTCCCTGTTTCGTGCTCCTACCCACGTTGTACAGACTATCGAGAAGCTGCAGTGCTCCTTCCTCTGGTCTGGATCCCAAGAGCAGAACAAGTTCCATCTTGTTTCCTGGGACCGATGTAAACAACCTAAGAAATTGGAAGGGCTTGGTATTCCGGATTTCAAAAGGCATAATATTGCTCTATTGTCAAAATGGTGGTGGAAGTTTGCCTGTGGGGACTCTTGGTGGAAGGATGTAATGCGAATTAAATATCCAAATGAGGATTCGCAATGGATGCCAGGTAAACCTCTTTCCCTGGTGGGTTGCAGCCCTTGGTCACAAGTTTACAAAGTGAAAGAGGAATTCTGAAAGTTTGCAGTAATTAGTCCGGCTTCAGGTGATAGCATTTACTTTTGGAGAGATCGGTGGGTTAAAGGGGTTACTCTTGTAGATTGCTTTCCGAGAGGCGCGGTTGCTGCTGTTAATCCGCGTGCAAGACTATCTGATATTCTTTTAAGAAACAATGAGTGTGTTTATTGATATATTTCCTTTAAATTCCAGTTAAAGGGGGTGCCGAGAGGGAAAGGGAGAGGCTATTTAATCTTATTAACAATAATCTTCCTGTGTTAAAAGCAGGTCATGACAAGATCACCTGGTTACTCACCACTTCGTAGGTCGGTAGGTGTTCACTGTGCATTCCTTATATCAAGAGATGACACAGGAAGAAGGCAGGACCTGTACAACTGGGGTTCATGGAGGCAATTTCCCGTGCAAGTCAGTCTGGCTAAGTCACGTACCATCCAAAGTCTGCTTGTTTGTATGGCTGACCTTTCATCGGAAGATACTCGCCCTGGACGCACTAAAACTGAGAGGTTGGATTATGCCCAGTAGGTGTCCTTTGTGCTGTGCACATGAAGAAGACCCGTCGCACCTTTTCATCACTTGCAGATTCACAATGGTTGTCTGGAGAATCATTAGTCGCTTTGTACATGTCGATGGTATTACTGCCTGTGGGGAGATTGAAGACGTCATCAAGAGCTGGGCCACTCTGAATCCGCAGAATCCTAAAGAATGGTGCACTAGATCAGTTTTACATGCGCTGCTGTGGTGTATTTGGAAGGAGCGGAATAATTGAATCTTTGAAGGGAAGTGCTCTACTGAATCTGTTGTGGCCTTTAAGATCGGAAACCTCTTGCAGCTTGGCTCTTGTCTGCGGGTAAAATTGACAGGCAAATTGGTGAAGATTGGATACTAAAACTGAGGGAGGCTTTAGTTTACAGAACTAGACCACATGTGCCTGCCTATCGAGTCGGAGTTGCGTAACTTCCTTGGAGTGTTTGTGGCTGAGGTTCCACTGTTGTATTATGCTTTATTCTCCCGTTTTTTGCTTCTGCTTCTGTTGGGCGGGGCCTGGTTGCTTTTATTTGTTTCTTTGGTTTTTGGCTCCTCTCTGTGTTGCTTTGTTTTCCGGCTTGGAGTGCCTGGTTGCTCCTGTGCCCTTGTTTTTTGTTTGTTCCTGTTTTGGCTTGGCTTTCCTTTTAACGTTTAATTACTAAATTTCACCCTTATAAAAAAAACGTCGGGATGGTGGACGACGTTCATTATTAACGTCGGATGACGGATGATCTTCGTTATCAACATCGGGATGACGGATGGCCTTCGCGAAGACGCCTTCATGAGAATAGGTTTAGAGTTTTTATATATTTATTTTGTATTATTATTATTATTATTATCTTTTTTTAATTAAATATTTAATATTCATTAGATTTGTGATGATTATACTTAGGTAACCATAGCGTGGAGCGGGAGCGGGAGTAGGAGCGAGAGCGAGAGCGGGAGCGTCAGAGCGTCAGTTTTTGAAGAATTCAATACTGAAAGCGTGAATAGAGCTTCAATATTATATTATTTTAATTAATAAATTATTATTTTTCTCAAATTATAAAATAAAATTTAGACAATATTATCTCAACTTACTTCTACAAATTAAGTTTATGTGATGTAAATATTTGCATAAAACTATTACTCGTGCACTTTGTACAGAGAACTACAAAATTGTACAGAGAACTACAAATTCAGTAATACTTTTTTTTAGAAAAATGAACATATGTACTCGTATAAGTATTCACCGGATAAAAATTGAAATTATTATAAAAGTTAGGATTTTGCTACGGTGACATGCATGTCACCGTGACATGGACTTTTCGGTTGACCTATTCCTCAAGGTGGTCGACCGAATTGACAAATTCAGTTATGTGAGGTTCAGAGAAGCAGTCGACCGTCTACATAAAATGGTCGACCTCTTTGGTGGTATAACAGAATGAAAGGTCGACCCAAATACCTCATAGGCCGACCCTTGTGCACCTATCAGGTCGACCTCATTAGTAAGAGGTCGACCGCATGCACACCGTACCCGTGTTGGAATCCCAACCGCAGAAAGGTTCCACAATTGGACAAGAAAACGAATTGGGTCGACCCATTCACATCCTAAATCTCTATAAATACGAAGAGAATGTGGATGAGGGAGAGAGGGGACATGAGTAGGAACTCGGAGATTTTAGATTGTGTGTTTTTATTGTTAAGTGGTCAAAATGATTGTTGATTGTTATTTTGTTGTTTTAGTTTTTTTTTTATGTGTGAAAATTATGATTTCTGTTTTATTGTATTTCTTGTTAGTTTGTTTAGTTGTTATGCTATAAATTGATGAGTCATTGTTATCATTATTTATGACTATTTATGATGGTTTGAAACATAATTTATACGAGCAAAAGAACCACACAAATCGACATACATAAGCAAAAAAGACAGGGGGCATAGGTTGACTTTCTTGTATTCGGTCGACATCGTACCTGATTAGGTCGACCTCGTACCTAATTAGGTCGACCTCGAAACCAACACTTGATCTCATTTTACGTCAAATGATTGGACACATTGATAGAACACTTATCTTCTATCTGGTCGACCTCTTTCCTTATCTGGTCGGCCATTTTGTTAATGACTGCCATCAAGTGGTCGACCTATATACCTTTACGGTCGACCATGTTGTTTCTAACGCCAACGAAATGGCCGACCGAGGTTTTATTCTGGTCGACCAAAAATAACAACTTAAACTAAGTATGGTCGACCAGGTGGTCGTTGAGGTCGACCGCAATGCTTTCTCGTGCTGCCCAAATTAGTCAATTCGGCCGACCCCCTTCAGGATTAGGTCGACCGAAAAGTCCATATTATGGTGACATGCATGTCATAGTAGGCATACCCTAAAAGTTATTATTATTATAATATAAAAAGCAGTCCCACCAATGAAAAGGTTTTAAGAAATTCCTTAAACTTATAGGTTTAAGGACATGTTTTGACCCGGTCTTTCAGCTACGTACTTTATATCAAGGCAAATAACGTGGAGCGTTGATTGTCACTATAAATATGGGATTCTTCAATGACAAAGCTCTCTCAAGACAAGCTTAACTAGCTACCAGTGTCCAAGTCAAACCTCCTCTCAAGAGAAAGCATAGCATAATTATTCACTTGGAAAATGGCATCCATTCCGATGATCTCTGAAGCTGATCGACTGGCGCAGCTAAAGGCCTTCGACGCAACGAAAGCCGGTGTAAAAGGGCTGGTGGATGCGGGAGTGAAAGAAATCCCTCCCATATTCTACACGCCGCCTGATATCATGGACAGCAACAAATCAAGTGACGAGAAGTTCACCTTCCCCGTCATTGACCTCGAAGGCACGGCCACAGATCCTGCCAAGCGGAAGGAGATCGTGGAGAAAGTTCGAGATGCTTCCACCACCTGGGGGTTCTTCCAAGTCCTCAACCATGGAGTTCCACTCAGCGTTCTGGAGGAGATGAAAGCCGGAGTGAAGAGGTTCTACGAGCAAGATCTCGACGAGAAGACCAAGTTCTTCACACGCGACTACACTAGAAAGGTTGCTTACAACAGCAACTATAACATGTACACCGCAAAGGCCCTAAATTGGAGAGACAACACCATAATCTACATGGCTCCAGATCCTCCCAAGCCCGACGAACTCCCCGCTGTTAACAGGTATGATACAATAATCGATCGATAAATTAACGATGACTAATGAGAAGTCCATGTGGCAATTAAGACAATATACGATTTGCTACAAACTTCAAAACTATATACAGGGAAATCCTGATGGAGTATTCAAAGGAAATGCTTAAGATGGGCTACGTGATCTTTGAGCTGCTCTCGGAGGCTCTAGGACTTGACCCAAACTACCTGAGAAACAAGGACTGCTTGATGGGACATTACCTGGTCCATCATTATTTCCCACCGTGTCCTCAGCCGGATCGTACTTTGGGGACAAGCAACCACACGGACTCCGATTTCATGACCATTCTCCTGCAAGACCATGTTGGTGGCCTTCAGGTCCTCCATCAGGATCAGTGGGTTGACGTAACTCCACTCCCAGGATCCCTTGTGATCAACATCGGAGATTTGCTTCAGGTAATATTTAAGACTCTTTCTTGTGTTTCGATACATAACGGTCTGTTGTCGTTAGGAAATCTCATCATGCGCTCAGGTTGATTTTTCCAGCTTATGTCGAATGATAAGTTCAAGAGCGTGAAGCATAGGGTGCTAGCGAATCGTAGCGATGGGCCAAGGATATCGGCGGCGTGCTTTTTCAGCACCGGCCTTTTGCCAAACCCAACGAAGTATGAACCCATTGAGGAGCTACTGTCTGAAGAGAATCCTCCGAAATACAGAGGGACCACAGTCCCGGAATACCTGACGTCTGCAGCTACCAAGAATGAAACCGATGGGGAGTCTCCTCTTCTGCACTTCACGCTCTAAGTTTGGAGAGTTTCGGGGGATTGATATGAGAAAAAGTTCAGTATTTACAACTTGACGTTATAAGAAAAATATAATATGGGGGATCGAATGATGACAACATGAACGATCTGTAGCTGAAATTTGTACCCGATCCATTGCATGAGGAAGTTTAATAAATAAATTTGTACTACCAATGCAATCTTTATATTAGTTCATTTATCATTACGGTTAACTTATTTTGGGGGGTTTTTTAGTTTTATTATTACGTTTTAGTTGTATTACTGTTACCAAGTGCGTTGTCCCCGTTAGCAAGAAACGAGTTGCATGCCGATATTTGGTTCGGGTTTTTTGGTTTTACCTGAAATTGGACCGTATAATATCGATCATGGTCGGACCAGGACCGGACAGCAAACAATCCTATCTCATGTTCGGACTTAGATTTGAGGTAGAAAACCGTTCGGGACCCTACGGAAAACCGAATAAATACCGGATAAGAGAGCCCAACATCTAAAACTTAACCAACTCCTTGCCCTTTGAGGCCTCAGGCCACTCAAATCTCCACAAGCTCAATCTACAATCAAAACAGAATTGAGACCGGACTGTATCCAATCCAATATTTTTTCCTTATATTACCGAAAAAATTGAAGCAGGACCCGATCAGTTCAGACAAATTTAACCGGACCGGACCGTATAATCAATGCAGTCAAAATCGGGATTTTGATCATAAAATTGTAGGATTTTCGGATTTTACTTAGGGATTCCGATCCTGATTTTACTATAAAATCGATGGACCTTAAAATCGTTCAAAATCGGGATTAAAATCGTTAAAATCGTACCAAAATCGGGATTTTGATCCTATGTGAACAAAATAGCGAGCTTGAGCCAATTCAAAAGAAGCAGAATTGTTTCGGTGGAAAAGGGCAATGACGGGGATCTTCTCATATATTTTTCCTATTAAAAGAACATTTGAAAAGATGAAAAAAAACTAATTAGGGTTCGGTCAACCCCTTTCCCTTCTCCTTGTTTAACTCATCGGTAAAACAATTGTCAGAATATTGTTAGTGCGTAAGAATTAACATCATTATTAACAAATTATTTTATTAATGAATATATTTGTATCAAACCAATGACATTAATTATTTTATTGGATTTCAGTTATTCTTAGTTTTAAATCATGCTTACTAGATGAAGTTAGAATACTACTTTGAGTTAAACTATCTAGACACAACATGAAAAACAAGAGCCAAACCCATGAGCTCTATCCCTTTCTCATAAATTATTTTCAGTTACACATGAAATAACAATTAAAATGATGATTTTGGAACATTATTCTTGAAAATTATCACTTTAAATGGGCTAAATTACACGTTTGGTCACTCAAATTATACAAATCCTTCACGTTTGCCACCCGAATTACTTTTCTTTCTTATTCGCCACTAACTTTACGAATCGTTTCACGGTTGGTCACCGGCCGTTACACTCCGTTAAGTTTGTCCTACGTGGCAGTCAACTATAAAGTTTGACCGTTAACTAGATGACGTGGAAATTTAAAAAAAAAAAAAACTCTTTCCACCTCATCATTGCACTTATTTTGTCTATATAATTTATCATATTAATAATTTAATAAAATTTAATAAATTACAAAAATGGACAAATCCAAATGCTCATCATCCTCACCCTCACCATCCAGCAATTTTGGGAGGCTGCAATTAGAAATGTACTTTGTGGTTCATCAGCTTTATTTATTTGTTCAGAACCATACAAACTGTGGTTCAGAGGCGCTATTAGCTACCAACATGGGCGGCTGGAACTAGAATTGGTACTTTGTTGAGACTTTCTTGCGTTGGTTTCAACAGTTTGTATCCCTTGAAATAGTCAAATGCAAAAACTTTCTTTTTAAAGCTTTAGTTTTACGGGATACTTTCTTACTTCACCCAGCGAAACCCACTTAAACCCAGATCCTTGAATGAACCTGTAGGCAGCAGAGGTGGTTTACTGTCGTCGCCGGCTTCGTGCCGGTGGTGAGAAACGAAACAGCGACGGCAATTGGCAGTGGGGGATCAGTGAACTCTACCTACAGCTTGCAGACGGATATAATTGGCCGATATATACTAAATGTCATTCATTATACGCGAATAATCATTCTCCTACTACAAACTAAGCACGCCGGAAATGGCGATGAAGAACAGGGGTAGTAGTAAAAGGACGATGAGAATCCAAACGGCTCATCATCTAATTGCCTTGATCGTTGGCTATGATCTCCGCCATGCCGTTTCGAGCGACGGCGACGGAAACGATGGAGTGGATGGTGAGGGTGAGGATGATGAGCATTTGGATTTGCCCATTTTTGTAATTTCTTAAATTTTATTAAATTATTAATATGATAAATTATATAGACAAAATAAGTGCAATGATGAGGTGGAAATTTTTTTTTTTTTAATTTCCACGTCATCTAGTTAACGGTCAAACTTTATAGTTGACTGCCACGTAGGACAAACTTAACGGAGTGTAACGGCCGGTGACCAATCGTGAAACGATTCGTAAAGTTAGTGGCGAATAAGAAAGAAAAGTAATTCGGGTGGCAAACGTGAAAGATTTGTATAATTTGAGTGACCAAACGTGTAATTTAGCCACTTTAAATGTTATAAATCTTTGTGTTATTAATTATTTACCTTATTAATATTATCATATTTTAATTTCTATATGGCACTTAAAATTCTACGATTTTACGATTTGATTTTACGATTCCGATTTTACCCCAGTTTTCAATTTTAGATAAAATCCCGATTTGAACTGCTTTGCGTATAACCACCCCTAGCCTGCAACGGGTCACAACGACCATTTTTTAATCACTGGCGGCAAGTGAAGTTTTGATATTTGTGTTATGGTTTTTTAACAAATTCACACTCATGTCAACTACAAAAGCGGATAAACTCGGCCACGAAACAAAACTGGTCAATACCATAGATTCGGGTTCAATTGTCTTCCCAGCAAAACACAGTGGGGAATAAATAGAAACCCAACAAAAAATAGCTAAACACAAAGGTTGTAGAATAGGAGAGTGGGGTAAAAGAAAATTTTGGAACCTTCCCCACTTGCAAGGAGGAGTGTGAGAGACACTAATGAATAATAAGTCAAACCTAGACTTTTATATATGAACTACAAAAGCGGATAAACTCGACCACGAAACAAAACTGGTCAATACCATATATTCGGGTTCAATTGTCTTCTCAGCAAAACACAGTGGACAATAAATACAAACCCAACAAACAATATCTAAACACAAAGGTTGTAGAATAGGAGAGTGGGGTAAAAGAAAATTTTGGAACTTCCCCACTTGCAAGTAGGAGTGTGCAAGGCACTAATGAATAGTATCTCAAACCTAGGCTTTTATATATATAAATAAATTCTCAACAAAACACAGTGGACAATAAATACAAACCCAAAAAACAATATCTAAACACAAAGGTTGTAGAATAGGAGTAGGGCTGGCTATTTGGACCGGGACCGGATGAAAAACCGGAAACCGGACCGTATAACCCGGACCGAGACCAGACCGGGATCGGATAGTAAACAATCCAATCCAATCTTTGGGCTTAGATTTGAGGTAAAAAACCGGATAAAGACCGGATAAGAGAGCTCAACACCCAAAACTTAAGGATAATTTGCATAAACGGTCACAAACATTTGCACTTAGTACAAAACTTAACCAACTCCTCACCCTTGTAGGCCTTAGGCCACTCAAATTCCCACAATCTCAACATAAAATCAGCCCACGCTCTGTCGCGGGATATGCTTGACTTGCATAATTTTTTGGTGTTATAATGGAGGGTCGGAGAGAATGCACAAATAAAACAGTTATAATGTTATTTGCTCACTACTAACATCCATCCAACATATGTTGGGTTACACAAAAGCAATTAGTGTTTTTTGACACGTTTACTTAGCAACATCAACATGCATGTGATAATTACGTTTTAGCATCATGTTGTAAGTTCAAAGAACTGACATGACGCAACAATAACGTCTTCGATTGATGATAACATGAGTGTAGGGAATACAATAAATTTTGCTGAAGTTTAGTCAAACTCAAAAATAGGATAAATTAAACAAACAAAATAACTAAACATGGACAAAAGTATAGAAGATATACTACAACTGCAAGAAAAAAATGAAAACATGGAACTATCTACTTCCTCAATAGCAAGCAAAAAGTGCAACATTCACGCCATCAGCTCTGGCTCCCTTTTGCTGCTGACATTTTGCTGCAGACAAAAGCAAATAATCAGAGAGATAAAACATGGCAGACTACCAGGGGGAGAAGGAAAAAAAAGAGAAGGAAAGAGACAATGATAAAATTACCTTCGCCGATGCCTATCCACTGTCTCAAGAGAAGATGATTATGATGATGAGGACCGTGTCTGACCTAGCTGTAGATCTGGATGTGAAGAGGAAAATTGGATGGAATCACAATCCACAAAATGAGGAATACAAAAGAACAGGGAAAATGATACAAACAGATACCGGATCAGCAGATCTGCATGAACCATGAATAAAAACGGAAAAGACCGCCCTCAAGCCACATCGCTCTAGGCTCGCTCCCCCAATCTCCCTAACTGATTCTCGAGGCCAACATCATCGTTTGTGGTTCCAACTAAAAGTAATCCCCGCTAACCCATGATCGAATCATCTAATAAGCACCTGACGCACGAAAGTATCCCTATGACCAAAGCGAAAAGAAGTGAGATTCAATCTGTAGGTACAACCCAAAGAAACTGAGAGAGAGGAACCGAAAAAACAAAAGAGATAGTACCTTCGAGTGCCAAGAATATTCTGACAAATCAAGCTCAAAAGCCGTGGCAGATCTGGGTCTCTGCAAAACTTTCTCATGCCTGTAAAATCGGCCCATTGCTGAACTTTAACAGTATGACTGGGATTCCACAACCGCCACAGCCAAGCCAAATCTATAACAAGGACTCGTAACCTGAAGAAAAAAAGCCCAGAAGAGAGGGATAGAGCAAAACCATTTTCCCGTGTAAGTGTTCCCCCCTCATTGATGAAGACGCTACATCC